TACGTACCCCAATCTTGTGCGCACAAAAGTTTCTTATATAATCAGTGAGACAGCCATGGAACTGAAATCCCACCCCACTCCACCCCACCCCACTAACCTAACTGTTACTGAAATTTACCGAGGCGCTAACCATTCACACTCTCAAACCCGATATATCCAAATATTAGTTTTGCCTTGGTGACTGATCCCCTACCCTCTCTCGTTGTGTCGTGTTGCCCGTGTGATCAGCAATATTGTCTTCGTCTCACTAACTGTAAAAATCATTTTAACTGCAGTATGCACGTGTACAGATGCAGCCAAATTACCATGGATACTTTGTGCAAACCCATGTTTAAGACTTCTCTGTTCCAATATGACATTATCGAGACAAACAGGGGATACGGGTCGAACACGGTGGGAGGGGGTGTTTAGGATCACTTCGGCTTATCGATGTTTTATCAATCTGGCAAATGAAACGTTTTTCTTAGATTATCTACCTTCTACTGATCATTTTAGTTAAGATGGCTTTTAAAAGAAGTAGTATGTAGAAATAATATACAGAAACGGGTGAATAACTTATCTGGAAGAATCAAACACTTGTGATATACTTAGAACCGAGAGAATCACACAAATTATGTTTTCTTTCCCTATTGTTTATTATTTAAGTTCCCTCGAAAACGTTCTAAATTGATTTTGTCTACCTTTTGTCAAATGAAATTGGTATTGTGTCCGGGTTAAATTACTGTTAAAAGATATTTAGTAAAAATATATGCGAATGGAAAAAAGCGATGTTGCGGCCAAGGTGAACATGGAGTCCGTGTGCTGCGCTTTCAACAGCACAGTCCTCTCAGAAGAACTGAAATGAAAACCTGTTACACGTTTTGTTGTAAGCCCCGTTTGTGATCCTGTGGTGAGCTAAAACTTGCGGATCACCAATTAACCTCTGAAAAATGCTAGCTATTTGCCGGACACAAAAAAATGGGATCACATTTAGGGAGCTGACAATTTCGAATGTGAATATTCCTCAAGAAAGCTTTTCATACAACTGATGCGCATCATATCAATTCAATTCGTGTACAGCTGCATCCAACCGATCTGATTGTCAATGCCTTATAAACTGATTGCTGGACACAGTCATATAAACACCCAGTAGGGGTTGAGAAAGGTTGAATTGAGATCAAAGAAGGTAACACGTATCGGCAACGTTTGCCCGTAGAATGTTTCGGCTAAGCACAGTTCACTTGTCATCATCCACACACCGCATATAGTTGTGCATGTCATCAAACTGTTTGAAGCGTACAGTTTTTTTCAGTGCACACGTCAGGCCGGGATCCCTTTTCTCAGAAATTATATTCAGACGGATAAATGAAATTTCCCTTTCCCCTTGTTCGTTCTGATCGCTTTTGTTATGAATAGATAGAATTACGAGTACAAAAACATGACAACTGTTTTTAGATGGTTCACAACCGACGGGAACTTACTATCTTTGTGGTATCCAAAACATTTGGGTTATTTTGTTCTCTTTGGTCTGAATAGATGTCTGCTCCTAGAGATTATTTTCTGTTTCCTCTGTCTTAATATATCATCTGGTGATCTTTTTAAAATACTCATCGTTTGGGTGTACGATATTTTTATCAAATATATGTTTATCTATAAGTCGCAATGATGAACGAGTTTGTACCGCATTTCATTCCTTTTTCACGTCTGTATAATGAGGATAGAAACAACAGCTCTTTCTCACTAAATCTTTATCCAAGCAGCTGAAACTCCCTATTTGGTGATAATCGTCATTTGCAGAACAGACATACCGGTGTCCCAGATTTTTCCTAAAGCGAATCAACCGGTATATATGTACATATGGCTGTGTTTGCTTGTACATTCTGGATAGATTTGGCCAGACAATAGTCTATGTTTAATGGTCGTTTGTGATCAGCGGGATTTCACAATGCTTCTTTTTGTTCGAGATTCACTCGATAGCTCAGAATACAGTCACACCGGGCACTGAGGAATTTGCGTTGTTCTAACCTGGCTCTAGCAATCAGTGCGGAAAACCCTGAATGATCGAGTGCAATCCATTTCGCGGAGACAGCAGGACTTTGAGGATGGATAGAGATATAATGGCAGGAGTATATCAGGTTCAAGAGAATATGATATTTAGGAACAAAATCAAGGGAGCTAAAGTATCTGTGATAAAGTGTGTTGCGAACAATGCCAGTTCCATCGGAGAGAGAACAAGCCTCATCACAGAACCGGGTTGAATTCAACTGTCTCGCGTTATCTCCTCAGCTGTCTACAAAACTTCATATGAAATTTCGATCTAAAAAATGGCAAATCTTCAGCAGATTCATATGGATAAAAAGCACTTATCCTCTTGAATGGAATCGCCCGTATAAATGAATTATCCTTTGATCAAACTACACGAATCAATCATTTGTTGAAGTGATTTTTTGTCGGAATTTATTGCCATAGGCTTTGCTAGACAGTCTCCAGAGTAGAATTACAAATTTCTCATCATCACCGGAGGGTATCACTATTGTTATTGGTGATCCACCTGATTATGGTGATCAGATTTGGCATCGGTGGGTAACAAGGAGGATGAACATCCCGATCTTAAGCGTAAATGCACACCGGTGCTCTCCCAATCCATCCGTGATAGTTTGTATGCGCTTAAGCGTTAACCTCACCGAAGTTAGATAATGTTGTTGATTGGGTGTATGCCTACCATTCCTAATCAAAGGGATTCGTTTGCTAATCGGACACATTCTGGATCATTTGGGGTTAGCATGTTTAATGACTGCCGCACCAAATTGTATTACAAAACCAAGAAATAGAAACATGTGCCAATTGTGGGACGGATAGACCACGTTGTTTTCCAACTACAGTGTCACAATGATCTCTTTCTTATCCTCGATTTATTTACGCGTCTATATGTTTTGTTCAGTCAGTCAGTCAATCAGTCAGTTAGTCAGTTACATGGTTGACTGTTATGATGTAACTTTTAAGTGGAAAATTTAATAATAATCTAGAAAAGTTCAAAATACGCATTGTCAAAGATAAGGAAAATAAATTTTGGTCATGGAATGAATAATTAATAATGCCATCGTTGACGCGGTTAGACCTGAAATATTAGTTAAGTTACAAAACACAAAAGTGAAATTTTGTCTGATAAGAGGACTCAAACACATTTAATAAATTCCCCATTTGCGAGTAATACATGTGCGGTGCAATTGTATCTTATACGATTGAGGAAAATTTGTCCCTAGCTGCATTAGATTCCGCTAACGTGCAGGAATTAAGGAATACAGAGAATCTCATCTTGCCTCATTGGTAAGTTCAATCTGATCGCAAGTATTGCATTTTTGTTGTTAAACTGGGTGGGGACGGAAGCCGTTTAATCCACGTACGATCACGCATACACTGGTATTTCGGGCATACACTGTCTTTATGGACAGTGTATGTGTGTGTATGCGTGAATGTAACATGACACGAACCTTTCACGGGATACACGTTTCATTTCTAAAGATTCTGGGCTGTGATTAAGAGTCGCGTGTGCTCGGCAATTATGTACCGAAAGCTACCGAAGGAAATGCATAGCACACTGGGCGTTGATCACGCTAAATAACCCCACCTTCCCTGCGTCGGAAAATTACGCCAAAATTATCCACAAGGAGTAATAAAACTAGATTGTTTCGGGAGCTTTATGGACGCACATGTAGTATTCACTGTCTATCACTTCAAACTGAGAATATTTTAGATATTGCACACTATCGAACTGAGCACCTTTTGGATTTCTGATGTAACATTTCATGGATCTAAGAATTAGTTCACCTCACTCTAATCGACCCTCTCTCGAACGAATTTTGATTGATTGTTGCCGACATTGTGTGTCACTTTCATTACCGTTAGTGATGAAAGTGTAGGCGCGAATCATGTGTCAATCATTCCAACCGAACATGATCTAAAACCTTTTATGTTGAAAGTTTCAATCGCGTTTTTACATTTTCTTCACAATTTCCAGATTCGGTGTCATTGCCTCTGCTGTCACAGAACCCGGGATAGCAGATATACTTGTGCCAGAAAGTGAGTTATCTAGTTGTTTTATAATCAGCTGCATGATTTACTTTAGGCTCAAATGCAACCCGCAGCCCTCCATGAGGTTTTTTGCATACTGTGTTGTAGTGATTCTTGTCATTCAATATAAACACCCGCCTGTCCAAACAGAGCTATTCAGTCACACATTGATTTGGAGGACGTTTGGTTATAACATCTAAGTTTTATATACTTCCTTGTGTTTACTACTGAATTGACCTCAAGTTTTCATTACTAGATCTTTGAGTTTACCGCTTCCTTCGACTCTATTCGCCATCTGGTGCTCGCCTTACCCCAAATCCATGGTTGCATTCGTTGTAGATTGGACCGATCTTGTGAGCATCGTAACTTATGATCTGCGTCTCCTATGGAGGACTTCATTATCTCGTACCTCGGAAATATATTTATCTACTAAGATGCATGCGCGGTTTCTATCTGTGCTTTTATCATTTCGAAACATACGAAGTTGAATAAGCAGTCTATATGTGGTTTAGAGCTTATGATTCGGCTTTCACTTTTGTGGGTTAAATTTGGCAAAACTCATAAAATTGACTTAAATGTCACTTCGTAAATACTCACAGTTGGTAGTTTCTGGATATTCAGGATATATATATATATATATATATATATATATATATATATAATGTATTTGAATGAACCAATCTTGAATACAATCAAAGTGAATCGTTTTTCTCCCAAGGATTTGTCTGTTGGGATTTTTGTGAGTAGGTTTTGGAGATAATACATTGTGACAGACTGATCATTTTGATTACTCCTTTCCCCGAAGGAACATATTTTTTCTCGCATCTTCCATATCTTAAACCATATCAACTATCCTCCCTTGCAGCCGTTCATCAAGAACGGAAAAATTCACGCATTTGGGTGTGATCAACTCCGTACTAGCACTCGGCAATCCACCACCATCACCTCCATATTGAAAAATGTGCGCACTGTTTGATCCGTGCAAAGCATGGAGAACTCGGTTAGGAATGCTGACTCCTTTTTACAACCCTTCTTGCTTGACGGTTGTTGACCCATGTGGTAAGAATATCACGAGAGATGGAACCGAGTGCTAACAGATTCCGGAAATTGGATCAAACCTATGTGTGACCGTATGGAAATAAATGCGTATAAGCTTATCACATTACTCATAGGCATGACCTGTGAGAAAAACCCAAACAGAAACAACAACAATAGCAGTTTGTTATTTAAGTGCATTCCCTGTTCAACAGTCTTGTGTGGGTCCTGATTGGAACGTATCATGTAAGTCAAACGTAGTCGATGTATCAAACCGCCTACTTTGAGTAGGCTCAAACGCCCCAGATTTGCATAAATTGTATGTGCACCTCAAGTAATGCCGAAGCTAAAGTAGCACGTGCTGAGCTCTACCCACTCTGGGCAGTACTGGAGGCTTCGCTGAAATGGGGAAAAACATTAGATAGAACGTTGTGATAAATGTTTCTTCAGCAATCCACAGCATCATGTAAAAATATTCAAATGATATGCAATTAGAATAGGTCAGCTTTTTTCTCCGCTTGGAAGTTTAGATGGGGAAGCCGATATGAACTAACTCGTCAGATAGGGACAGCACGAATGTTGTATGCGAACGGTAAGAAAGTTGAGTCATGGACTCACGGAAATAGCCCAAAATATCTACCGGGTCAATGTTAGACTTAATAAAAGCATTATTTAAATCGTCTGATTTATGATTTGTAGGTTGGCATTGCGGAGTTGCAGTTCTACTCACAACAGTCTACTGACGAGGTCAGTTGAGATGATAGCCTTGCTCAAATGGTGTAAGTTGTTATCATTACCTTGCTCCTGATTCTTAAATTTTGGAGCTCCATCTCTATCTGCGATACTTTCATCTAGTTCAAAAATACACCATCTCACCAGATCATCGTGGTTTACCATTTCATTTCGATGGGATTTATTCGCGTTATTGGTCATGGCATAGCATTGTGTGATAAATGGGTTGCAACTGATCGCGATTTTTCTCCTGGAAAACAATTTTATCATATAATTGAGGCGGGTTCGAACAACATGGCTTGTACAAACTGGTAAAATAAGAAGCAGATAAGGGGTTTTAAACGATAACCATGGACCCTGACCAATTCAATGGGAGACTAATTCACGCAATTTGTAGAGAAAGAATTATGCCTATCAGGAGGAGGCAGTGATGACAAAGAAGGATGAGGTAAAGGTTTAGCTAATGCAATAAACCACCGCTCATTGTTATTAGCCCAATAATCAAAGTGGTAAACCCCGGTATCGGAAGGACAGGTGTGCTCCTCAGCTCAAGAATGATGGGGTCTCGATTGAATGCGCTATGGGTGAATGAAATGAGCAGCGGCCCAACTGAAACACCTTAAATTTCAAATGTTTGACGGCACTGGTTAGTTTGGCGAGTAGAATGATATACCGGGCAAGATGAGGGTTGAAGCTGAGGGAGAAGAACAATTAATTAGAATTAACCAAAACTCCGTATTGAAAAAAGCAATCCTAAATTAGTTACGCGAGATTTATTTGAAAAGGTAACAAGGTGAAAAGTTGATCACTGAACGAATGGTCAAAAAGGTGAAAGACCGGAGTTGTATCATCATCCATTTAGGACTGAACAGGACAATAAAGAGAAACTAAATTATTCAAGTTTCGTAGGTTCAACTACTCATCTTCAAACAAATACCTTGAGAAACTGACTCACTTTTGTGTAAAGTAAAATTATGACGAATCAGCGCCAAGAATTTATGGTTGAGGTTGTGTCTACTTCATATGAATGAGTATAATCCCCTAGCTACATGGATCGGTTTTTCAGTGGAATCTATAGAAGAAAAATGAATGTAAAAGGCAACTTAAAAATTCAAATCAAGCAGCCGCTGATTTTGATTAGACCGGACGAGCAATGCTCAATCGAGGAGTGTTGACTAGAGCAAACGTTTTATTGCAAAGATTTGTGCTGTCTTTCAGGAATGATGAAGCAGTGAGGATAATCATTTACTCAAAAGAAAGTAACTGTTTGAAAATCACGAATGGTTGGAATAGCCGATAGTGTTTCAAATTTCCAAATGTAACATGGAAACAGGAATTCATTCCTTGTGTCAAAATTTAAATACAATATTGAATATAATGTCCCTTGACTTAATACAACTCTGATATCAATCTCACCTGAGAGCTGAACTGAAGGGTAAATAGAAGATGATGATAAAATATCGACTTGCCAAAGTTTCCGGTTTAACTTCATAAAATGATTTGACCAGTATATTGGCCAACACAAAGTTTACACAGCGCGCATACCGAAACCTGAGATTTGATAACCTCTCAACTTGAAGAATTATCAGGTTCCTCGAAGAAATCCTTGACCACCAATATAGTATAATTTACATTTATGTTTATAAAACGTTATTTAAACCAATCAGTTGTCAGTGTAAGGTTTATGCCGCTTTATATATTTTTAGCAGATAAAAATGAATAACACGTTTTTGAAGTTCACGACAACACTGCATGCAACAGTTAACTATCTGTTTCTTTATTGCACAATGTGAAATACAGTAAACGGGGAAATCCCCATGGACAAATAGTATACTGTAAAGGGAAGAGTAGAGGAACAGTCACGTAAGATCCAGTTTGTTGATTCTGCGTTTAAAAAGTGTAAGATTGTAAGTTGGGGAGGAAGTAACAAGTGTGTATGTGGAGGGGGGGTGTTCCATAGCTTGGCAGTTTGGGGAGGGGGGGCAGAAGATTGGAGTAGAGAGATACGACACTTGGGACCAGAAACCTGATAAGGATGACTAAATGCCTGTGTACGGGATCGGCGAGTAAAACTTGCACGACGAGGAACAGTGGAGGCAAATTCCAAAAAATAAAAACTAAGGTAGTAGCGGTAGAACAGGGACGATGAAGCAACTGCCTGACAATGGGCTAGCGACTGTAGACTGGATGGCAGGGAAGGATCATCGATTAGCCGGNCACGAGCAGGAAGGGAAAGGGAAGAGGACGAAGCCCCACCCCACACGTGATTACAGTATTCAAGAGCAGGGCGGATTTCAGCTTTGTACAATAGAAGAAGATGAGCTGGGTTGAAAAAACGTTTGGTGCGAAATATAAAACCGACCTTGAGCACAAGAAGCAGAAGTAGCAAGCTTGGTTATTACAAGGGACCACCGTAGGGAAGAAGTTATAGGCAATCCAAGAAAGGAAACAGAGTCTGTGGAACGAGATGTCAAGCGAGAGCAAGTGTGTTTACCCGTGGTTATCGAGTGGAGCTGACCAGGATTATGAGACAAGAGCCAGAAGGTCACCGGTGGAACGACGCGNCGGTCGAAAGCCATACTAGCGGTCTCAGTTGTCCTTCGCGTTCAAGGAATGTGCGTAGCTGGTCAGAAATGATACTTCCAAAAATTGTCAAAAGAACAGATGTGAGGGAAATGGGTCGGTAATTGTTAAGGTTAGAAAGATCACCGCGTTTGGGAATGGGAAAAACCACGGCGTGCTTCCAGGGGGTTGGAAAGAAAGAAAGTTGGTGGAAAAGACAACTTGAAACAGGAGCCAGCTCCGGAGCACGCATTTTGAGGACGATGGGTAGGATACCGTCCGGACCGGGTGATTTGTTTGCGTTTAGAAAGCGCAATGTTTGACGGAATTTCCTAGTACAGATATGAGGTATAAAAAAGTTGCTAGTGAAGAAAAAAGAAGATGGAGATGTAGAAAAATGGGATGAGGTGGAATTGGCGACAAACTGGGGGGCAAAAACCTAAGCTTTCTCGTTTGGTTGACACACAAGATCACTAGACGAATTGCAGATAGGGGGGAAGTTGCAAGGACAGAAAATACGGGAAATTGCTTTGGCAAGGGACCAAAATATTCGGTTACCGGTGGCGGACGAGACCAAGTTTTCGACTTTACGGCGAACGAAGCGTTCTGTGGTTCTCTGAATGATCGTCGAGCATCTGTTCCTAGGTTGCACGAAGCGACTGTGATAGAGGGGGATGGGC